CTGACCATGACAATGGGGAAAGCTGTAAATCTCCCCTCAGATCACTTTGCCATTGCTCCGAAGACCAAATCCTGCATGTGGCCGCTGTCTCGGGTTGGGTCCCACACAATTTGAGACAGGCCCATTGCTGCCATGGTAGCCATGAACTCCTGAGCCACCTCCGAGGATTGTCCCAGGGACAGCAGGTTGAAGACCCCCAGAACCATAAGCCGGGGGAACTCCCCCACCAGCTCCAAGACAGCCTCCAGCAGCTCAGGCAGGGAGGCTGCCACGCAGCAGGGAGGCTGGTACAGTAGCAGCACTCCCAACTGTTCGCGGGGACCCAACCTAAAGAACAGTGTCTCACAGCCCGAGACTTGTGGAGCAATGCCCCTGAAAGCCACCAGAGATTCTTGGATGACAACAGCCACCCCTCCTCCCCTGCCCTGGCATCTTGGCTGGTGCCACACCGTAAACCCAGCTGGGCACATTTCCGAGAGGGGGACCACCCCCTCGGGCCCCAGCCAGGTCTCAGTAATACATGCCAGGTCCGCCCCTTCCTCAGTGATCCTCAGGGGGTCTTGTTTTTAACTGACCTGGCATTAAGCAGCAGCAGCCGGAGGCCATGGCCCCTATGAATCTGCTGAATATATGAAACTATTGCTACATATACACAAGCTTTCCACAAAGCAAAGGCAATAGGAGAAGATCTAGATTACTCTTCAGCTGAAATTAGCACAGAAGGCTGCTGAAAGGATAAAATATGGCTTTATCCACATGTGTTGTCCTTCTTCTAAAAAGGTATGATCAATCTGTGGCCTTCCAGCTGATGCTGGACTACAAGTCCCAGGATTCCTCACCAACTATGTTAGTTAGGGCTGATAGGAGCTAAAATACAACAATATCTGGAGAGCTAAAGGTTGCCCAGCTCTGGGAACTGAGAGTAATACACAGACCTGAAAAATCAAAACAAATCCTAGGGCAGCATTCATAAATGAGAGGAACATCTTTTCAGCATATCCTTGGGCAGTCGCTCTTGCTCTTTAAAGCGGCCATCTGGTTGAGGTGACAGCGCTGAAGGGGGGAACTCTCTGTAATGTGAACTTACCTTTTCCAGAAGTGACATCAAACACCACACCCTTCACAGCTATGTAAATGGGCTCATCCTCCTGAAAATACAATTTATGTGCTTTATCCTGAGATGTACTGATACTCAAGAAACACCAACAGCACTACCTGGTCATTCTTAATTTTCCAAGAAAACCAAAAGTGGCCTACTTCAACTTGAAGGTTGTCTTTAAAGAAGAAAGCCGGTTCACATCAATAAAGACCTGCTGTAAAAGGAAAGTCTATCTACTTTTTTTTTTTTTTTTAACTAAACTCAGCCTGAGAAATCTCTGATGGATGTCCATAAAAAGGAAAGCCTATAGCACCAAGTATCCTAGATGTAGAGTGGCTGCTAATAGCGGTGAGAAATTTGTGGTCCTCCAGAGGTTGATGAACTCTACAACCCAAAGCTCCTTACTCTTGGCCATGCTAGCTGGGGTTGCTCAATGTTATAATTTAGCAACAGCTGGAAGGCCCTGGTTTCACTGCTTCTGAAAATTTCTACATCAAACTCCTTTGTTAATAAAATAAATATAATGGAAGTTGCCCCGTTTCCATTATATGATATATAATGTGTGCAAATGAAAGCTCTGAAATACAAAGGTACAATTATTAACTTTTGTACAACCCCCCCGTTTTTTTAAAGGAAGAGGAACACAAACGAAGAATTCTTTAAGTCTTTATCTGCATATAATATGAAATGCCTTTAATATTTAGAATCAACCATGGTTTTCTCTCTTTTTTTTTCCCTTTAAGTGTTCCTATGAGCATATGAAACTGCCTTTCCAGTTTTCCACAGGGGTGTCTATGCTGCCAGCTGCTTTTCCCATATTGCAGTGTTGCAAAAGTACAGCCCAAAGCTCCATGTTGCCATGAGCATCCTTCTGAGGGCCCCAAACACCCCTAGATTTAGAGGGGCTCCTAATCTCAGTCTTCTGCCATTTTCAGGAGCAAAACTGCAGGGATTAAAGGCACTCATTTTCCCCTTAAAACGCCAGGACTCCCCAAAACAGACCTAGACACACCTATTTTTGCAGGGCAGTCCAACTGTACATAAACTAGAGCGTGCACGCAATTTCCAGTGCCACAAACACTAAGGGAAATGTGCTACCACAAAGTTCTCACTGCCTTGTCCTAACCCGCACCACCCCATCCAGAGAGAATTAGGACAGTCACGTTTTTATGCTTTACAAATTCTTCCACGTACGACCGCTCTTGTGGGTCATCAAGGCTGCTAACTGCAACGCAAAATATGCGGCCTAACAAACTTCGCCGAGTCCAAGGAGATTACAACCCGCAGCTCCCCAACCCGCCTTCCGCAGAATAACCGGGGCCATCCCGCCAGAAAGGTCCAAGCCGAGATCACAACGCGCAGAGCCGCTCAGCCCTGCTGTTGCAGCGGAGAGCAGAGGCGCAGCTCTCTCCGCAGACGT